CCATACCAAGTGCCCTGAGGTGGATATATTAATGCGCATACCCTATGCGCATCTGGTAAGTGCGCAATCCTATCATTTCTTCAAAGCATCAGCATACTGATATTTGCTCACTTCTGGATACATCTCACTACATACTCATAGACTTATTCGCATTTGGATTCTATTGTGATTATATTTATTTTAGCGCTGCACTTTATTATTTATATTGCACTTTTAGAGGTTTCATTTGGTTACCTGAGTGTATCAGCTGCTCTATTGGAGAGCGCTCAATTTGCTTTGAATATTAGTCTGTTGGAGAGCAGCCTGTGCAAGACTTTACACAGCATCTGCCTACTTAGTTAGGACCTTACAAAGAGATCTGGATCTGCTCACTTCTGCTACTCTATTGAGAAATACAAGATACTGGGAACTAGTGTTGGTCTTGATGTTCGACTTCGCCGAACACATGAATGGTAAGGGCATTCCGCAGGCTATTCGACCCCCGAGCGCCCCACAATGCACTGCACTCTTACAGTGCATTTTGAGAGCCATGATTGGCCAGGTCAGGTGCAATGCTTTGGCCAATCATAGCACAATGCACTGTGAGAGCCATGATTGGCCCAATCATGGCTCATGGCTAAGTCCACGCCCCACACTATATAAGGCTGCTTACACAGCAGCCTTGTGTAGTGTGCTGCTGGACACTGCTGAAGACAGTGCCGAGAATGTTCTGCTCCCCCCCCACAAAAAAAAAACAAAAAAACATAAAATAAAAAATATAACAAAAGATAGAGTAAAAAAAGAAACAACGTGGGTGAACCACCCCCCTTCCCCACCTCCAATCCATGCCAGGCCCTTTAGGTCTGGTAGGAAGGTTAGGAGGGGCCCCACAGTATTTTTATTTTTTTAAGTTGCATGGGGTACCCCCTAAGAAGCCATACCAAACCCTTTAGATCTGGTAGGACTTTTAAGGGGAACACCACCTCCAAAAAAATGTGCATGTGGTTCCCACTAAACACCATACCAGGCCCTTTAGTCCTGGTAGGAGTTTTAAGGGGAACCCCACCCCCCAAAAAATGGGGGGGGAAGAGAGGGCCCCCCCTAAATTTCTACCAGACCCTTGATCCGAGCACAGGCCTGGCAGGGCAAGAAGGGGGGGAACGATAGAGTGTCCCCCCCCCCCCTGCGGCTTATCAGACCAAATCCCCTTGGCATAGAGACAGCATCCCCATGTCGATGGCGACAAAAGCCTCTTCCCCAAAGACCCCCACAATCCTGGCCCAGTGGGAAGAGTGGAAGAGGCCCTTATCCCCATCGGCATGGGGAAACTGTCCCCATGCCGATGGCACATGGCCTGGTAAGCCGCAAGGAGGTGAGTGGGCTAGATCCTCCCCCCCCCCCCCCTTCCTACCTTGCCAGGCCTGGGTTTGGATCAAGGGTCTGGTAAAAATTTAGAGGGCTTTTTACCCCCATTTTTGGGGGGTGGGATTCCCCTTAAAAGTCCTACCAGGCCTAAAGGGCCTGGTTTGGCTTTTAAGGGGAACCCCACGCTGATTTATTTTTCCTTTTTTTTTCTTGTTAATGAAAATTTATTTTTTTTAAAAAAAGGTCAGTCCTGCTGCAGCAGATTCTATACATTGTAAAAAAAAAAAAAGTACTTGTTAAAAAACAAATTTCACTAAATCATGTCCCCCAGGGCAGTAACCGAGTCCCCATACCCCTTTTATGGCCAATAACTTGCATATAAGCCTTCACAATGGGCACTTTTGAATTTACAAGTTCAAGTCCCATGGACCTGCAATGAGTTTGAAGTACGCGGTCGAATGTTCATTGGGTTCAAACGTTCGACCGCGAACCAAACACGGGGGTGTTCAGTCCATCACTATTGTTAAGAATCATAATCCAATTTCCCTCTTAGATTGTAAGCTCCCTGGATCAGGCCCTCCTAACCCTCTTGTATTGAACTGTATTGTTGCTGTATTGTCTCCCTTTATATTGTAAAGCGCTGAGCAAACTGTTGGCGCCATAAATCCTGTATAATAATAATAATGTCAAGAAAAAAACAAGAGTCGTGTAAAGGAAATGAGAGCACTACAAAGCAGTTCTCTTTCTGAGAAATGGTATTTTTTGCTGGCTAGCTGATTCAGGGAGTTTTTGATTTACTGACCAAGAACAAAAGTGGAAATCAGGAGTGCTTACTTCACATGCTGCATATTTTTCTGGGTCGATGACTACAAAAAAGAACCAGGCAAGCAGCATTTTCCAAAGGAGGTCATCAATGGGAACCTCTATTTTTTAATAGTACAGGTTTCTTTAAACAGTTAAGAACAAGTGTACATGATGCCTGCAAACCATGCTATAGATACAATGATGACCAGTCAGAAACGCGTAGAGTAGAGCCAACAAGAGTGACATGGGGTGCCGTTTCTGGATGTTGTTTAATGTATGTTTTTACTACTTATTTACTATTTTTTTATGGGTTAAATTAGTTAATGGGTAAATTAGAGGTATGCATTCCTGGAAAGCTGCTCCATGTACCCTTTCAGTGATGTTCATGGATGGTTAAATTGTGAAGTACTTTATGAAGACTGTAAAGTGCTTTACTTATAGATTGTTGAAGGTTGATTTAGTGCTGCTTTCTTTTCCATGTACTATTGGACTTTCCGGGACCTGAAGCGTCGAACATTTGGTGCAGTTAGGTAACAGCGAAGTGTCAGCATTTCAAGACAGGCTACTGGAAAAGTAAGTATATTGCCTGTTCTTTTACAGGGGCTTTTGTCTAGAGGTGACCCTCCAGTTACAGGACCACTTAATTTAAAAATGTTTTTCATTCATGTTTCACCATTTATACATAAAATTACAAAAAATGCATTTCATTTGTAAATAACTGTAGCTTTGTACTTATAATAAAATTTACTGTCCTTACAAATGGGCCAAAATATTGATTTAATATATTTTGTAATCTATCTTTTTTACATATGGGGTCTATTTATTTATGAAAAAGCTTTTGTTTTGCAGAATTGGACATTTTCTGTGTTGGGGGGGATTGAATAGTGTAAGATCCAGACTAAGATGTATTTCTATCATTTGCATTTTTTATTTGTGGTAATGTTGCCTAATTTGTTGATGTGTGAAATGCAATAAAGCTGTCTGTATGAACTCCAACCCCTGTCTACCTTATGAATGCACTAGAGCTTGGGACCACACTTTGCCAATTTGGTGCAGCAGTGTGGCTTCACAAAAATGTGCAAATGTATTCAACAGAAACTTCTGTTTCTAACTCAAGTTGTTAAAACAGTTTCGATTTTCTTGTCATGCTGACTGGCTGAAGAGTGTATTGGTGAATATTTTCGAATGGCCCCGTTAAAGTGGAAGCTGCGCAACTTGCATCTTCGTGGCCACATCACAATCTATCTCTCCCTTGGCCCCTTGGTTGATAGGCCAGGAGTTGGCTGGAGTGTGACTGGCTGCAATGTTGGCCTTGGGACCTAGCCCCACCCCTGGAGCATAGAAGTAGGACACCATGGGGATATAGGTGGCACAGAGTGTGTGGCCACCCAGGGAAGTGTTTGCTGGAGGGCACTGTTCTGAAGTCCAGGTCTGGAAAAGGATCTTTTTATCTCCTTCAATGAGGATCTACCTGGAAATGCTGGGTAGCAGACAGCTCCTAGGACATTGTGAGTAATGACCTTGTTGTGGACTTTGAATGTGTTTGTGCTAGAAAAGATCTAAGTGCAAGAGGTTGCTACATGGACTGGGGCTGCTCTTAAAAAAGTCTTAGATATACTGGCCGTTCTTTGTTACATCCCGTTATTGCTTTTGATCATTTTGGAGTACCCTGTGACCATAAACCCATCTCCCGTTTAAAGTTCTTCAAGCAATACATTTCAAAAAGACATCCCCTAGACTAATTTATTGGAGCCCCTGTGTATGGACTGGTGTACACGGGGGGGGGGGAGCGATATATATATATATATATATATATATATATATATACAGTGTTTGCGTATATATATACAGTTTGGAGAAGAAGGGGCACAGAATTTAATGAAAAGAACCTCTGTCCAACTGTTAAGCATGGGGTTGGATCAATCATGCTTTGGGGTTGTGTTGCAGCCAGTGGCACAGGGAACATCTCACGAGTAGAAGGAAAAATGGATTCAATAAAATTTCAGCAAATTTTGGATGGTAACTTGATGCCCTCTGTGAAAAAGCTGAAGTTAAAGAGAGGATGGCTTCTACAAATGGATAATGATCCTAAACACACCTCGAAATCCACGGGGGATTACATCAAGAGGCGTAAACTGAAGGTTTTGCCATGGCCTTCACAATCTCCTGACCTCAACATAATTGAAAATCTATGGATAGACCTTAAAAGAGCCGTGCGTGACAGACAGCCCAGAAATCTCAAAGAACTGGAAGACTTTTGTAAGGAAGAATGGGCAAAGATACCTCAAACAAGACTCTTGGCTGGCTACAAAAAGCATTTACAAGTTGTGATACTTGCCAAAGGGGGCAGTACAAGATATTAACTCTGCAGGGTGCCCAAACTTTTGCAGACGCCATTTTTTTGTTTTCTGTTATTTTGAAAGTGTAAATGATGGAAATAAAATCTAACTTTTGTTGACATATTATAAGAATGTCTAATCTGTAATTTGATGCCTTTTCCATCTTTCCTTGGCTTCTTTATGCACATTAATACAAATTTTTAGCTGTGGTGCCCAAACTTTCGATCCCCACTGTATATATGAATAAGTATTTGATCCCCGGCTGATTTTGAATGTTTGCCCACTCACAAAGAAATGATCAGTCTAAAAATCGAATGTTCAGTGTATTGTAACACTGAGAGATAGAATAGCATATATATAGCATATATATATATTTACTGGCTAGCACAGTAAGCCATATGCTACAATACAAAGTATAATACTACACATATACTGTATATAAAGAGAGAGTTATATTGTCACCCACTCACATTTCTTCTTTTTGATGAAATACCATACAAAGTAAGAAATGGCTGCAAGTGATATGAGTAGTAAGATAAAAAATATAGCAATGAGCCCGGAATGGCAGTGTCGTTCACAATAATCTGCAAGGGGAAAGACAAAAAAACACAAATTAATAATGCTTCAAGAATATAGCAATTATACTGATAATTAAACTGATGAAAAAGTTGCCAACAATAGTGAAAACGTCAGTGAATATTTCAAATGGTGGTCACCAATCCTTACCATCAGGGTAGACTAATGAGACAGGAAATCTTCCTCTGCGAGCCGAAAAATGTCAATATGTTGTACACCTTTCATCGTGTTCCACGCTTGGTTGAACATTTGTGGACACCTGACAATCACACCTATATGAGCTTGGTGGGCGTCCCATTCCAAAACCATGGTCATTAAAGTGGAAGTAAACCCAATTCTTTATGTTTTATCTACAGGTAAGCCTTTAATAAGGCTTACATCTAGGTACTATAAATATCTCCTATACATTCACCATTTAGAAGATATTTACTGTAGCAGCACCGGTAATGTCATTGCCGCATGCGCACAGCAAGCATGCTGTCCATTGAGAGAGACGTGCCCTGCGGATTGAGCAGAATGAATCGGCACTGAATGTGATTCTTATTTGTTTATTGGCTGTTTGTTCACAGTAGCAGCAGTTCCTTAAACTCTGTGACTCGGACCTTCCAAGAGCCTTTCACCTTTGCGGGTATGCTGTAGTCTCCTCAGACAGTACCCATAGGCAGGGCTGCTGTTAGAAATCATGGGGCCCCCATACAGCCTACCAGACGGGGCCCCCAACCCCACCCCTGGTCCCACCCCCTGAGGTGGGGGGGGAGAAGGAGGTGAGAAAAGAGGGGGGGTAAGAGATGGGGGTGTGAAAGCTGCCAGCTGGCCGGGCCCCCCCCCTCCCGTTAATTGATGGGGTCTGGGCCCCCTACAGGAGGCCTGGTGGTACCCCCTTATCTGTGCCCCCAGGGTTAGGGAGTGATGTAGTACAATATATACTGTGTGTACGTGTGATATATGGTGCCCTGATGATCGGTGCCGATCCCTCCTCTGACAACTGCCGATTCTCGGCAGTACTTTCCTCACGCTCTGAAAGCATGAAGAAAGTGCAGCCGAGAACAGGCAATTGCATTTCCCGGTGATCAGCGTGTCATTGGACACAGCTGATCACGTGGTGAAAGGCTACTGTGACTGGCCTTTTACCACACCACGTGATCAGCTGTGTCTGTAGGAAACAGCGATCACGGAGATCGCCGGGGGCGCGCACCCCGGGGGCGCGCAGGAGAGCGCTTTCTGGAAGGACGTCCTATGACGGCCTCTCAGTACTGGCCAGCCGCAGTGCAGCCGTCATTCGGCTACCTGCGGTCGGCAACTGGTTTTTAACACCCCATGACTGTGGAATGGTGGGAACTGTAAATCTGGAGATGGTTGGTACTTTAGGTCGGGTTGTAGGGAACTAAAAGGATAAGTGCACTTTAAATGAACCCACAATCATGTACTGAAAGAACATGCATTAATCAGCATAAACTAGTTCTTGGTAAATCTAAAGGAGATTGTAATGTGTGTGGCCAGCTTACAACTGTCTTTCATGCAGATACCATCCATATTCCCGAGATTATTGCCTACAATCAATCAATAATAATCTACAAATGTTATTAACTGACTTACTGTATCCTGGGACCTCCAGGGTCTCAGTGAATGGACTCTCCAAGGCCACATGTTGAATATTACAGGAGATCCGTTCTGGTACGTTGCCTTCCTTGAGATTAATCCGATAATAAATTTCCTTGTTAAAAAGACCTTCCTCGCTTCCTCTGGACAGATTTGCCATTTTCCCATCCACCATCCAATTTATAGACAGCGGTTCCGGAGAGAATCCTCGCGCCTCACATATGTAGAAATACTCGTTGCCATCCGCTGTCCTTGAAGATGTGAGCTGCACTTTTGGGACCACTAAAAAAAAAAATGTAAAGAAAATTAAATTGCGAACACATTTTACATTATTGTATAGTCTATGTCATGTTTCACATGACTGTTATATGTTTTTAAGTGTTCTCTGTATTTTGTCTCTGCTTCTCTCTTTCTTCTAGTTTAGTTCATACTGTATAGATAGCGCCACCCCTTTTCCCAGTAATGCATTTCAGCTTCAAGCCTCATGTCATGAAGCAGATCACATTATGATCTTTTGACCTATCCGATGTTCATTGTTGTAAGATTCTCTCAGTTTATGGAATAAACTTCACAAGATCTTCAAGGTGTCATCTGGATTGAGTCACTGCCTGTGTAATTCAACTAAAATTGGAGTTATCGCTATCTCACCACAACTGTAAGTTACAGAGATCACACTTTAAATGCTTAGATTGGAGAGACAGAGCAGTCTATCTGAAAAAGATTTTCTTTTATATTGGATATGATTGCGGCTCCATATGTTTTTGAAGATATTTCATAAGTTAGAGTCTTCCTTATGAGCAGTGCAAATAGCAGACTTGCCCAGTGAGATAAAATTAAGACATGCCAACTATATCTAACTCCCCCCCCCCCCCCCCAATATGAAAATGTACTGTATTGCAGCGTAGCAGATTTTAGATGTGGTGTCTGTATTTGTTTTATTTTTTTTAGAACATTTCTTTGCAAGTACTGAAAAATACATCTTGATCCTGCCAGAAATCCAGTATTGCTTTAATATTAAATTGAACATTCCAATAATACAGCCTTCTCTGAAACAGAATGCCTCCAATCTACGTAATAGAAATGAGGAAGGGGAGGTGCTCTGTAGTCCTAACACACTTCCTGCCCTAAGGTGAGGAGGCTGCTCCTCCATAGATATTGAGTGAGTCACTCTATATGTGTTACTGGCAGGATCGCCAAGTGAAAATTAAAGAAAGAACAGTAAAGAAAAAAAGAATGCAGCCGCCAGATCTGGTAAGCTGAATCATATTACATTTAATTTGGGGGGGGGGGGGGGTAGATACGCTTTAAGCTCATAATAGACATGGGACGTTTGTTGACCAGACCCCACCAGCCTCCCCCTAGATAAAAGCACTTGCAAAGTTTGGATTTAGAATGTATGTATAGCCAAAACTTTATATATATATATATATATATATATATATATATATATATATATAATATTGTGGGAACTCGCTTCAAAGTGGTAGAGCTTCTTCAAAGCACAAAGCAACTCGCTTCTTTTTAAGGGCCTTTTTGCCCAATTTTATTTAAAGAATGTCCCGTAACATAAAGGTTTCCCACGCAGGGGTTTCCACCATCACACAAATTAAACAGTATTCAGCCTCCTGGCTTGTACACAGTTTTAACTCTGTCTCCTGCAGAGTCTTCCTAAAATATGGCACTAGCACACAGCTAGTCTGGCTTCCACCTGACTCCAAGGCAGAGACCTCCCATCTGCCGGGGTGGAGCCCTCCTGACTCCTAGCTGCCGGGGTGGAGCCCTGCTGACTCCTAGCTGCCTGGGTGGAGCCCTCCTGACTCCTATCTGCCGGGGTGGAGCCCTCCTGACTCCTATCTGCCGGGGTGGAGCCTAGAACCCTGATCCTGACTCTATCTAAAGGACTGCACACACCTGTGCAATCAGTCTCCTGGCCATTCCCAAAACCTGGTCCCAGGATTGGAGATTTCATCCCTCCCAGATCTCTTTGAAATCTCCAGGCTCCAGATCCCAAAACAGACCTTACAAACAAAGGAGGAAAGTGAAAAGCCACTTTCCTCCGTATCAAACACTTAGCCTGGAGCCCCTCAACCTGCCTTGTTGAGAATCCTGGGTGACAGATTGCCACACTGTCACAATATATATATATATATATATATATATATATATATACACACACACACATTTTTGGATAGAGTAGGGAAGGCTTAAAATTCTTTCCAGAGTACCTTTGGGGAAATTTCCCTTCACTTCCTGTCTCAGAAACACAACAGAAAGCTAGAATAAATTTCCCAAAGGGGGGAACTCCGGTCTTAGGCAGTTATCCCTGGATCAGGTGTCCCCTTTGCAAGATTTACTCTTACCTCTTGTTCTTGAGGCATTGCCAAAATTTGGGATTTTAATTCACTTTCTTCTTCGGTGACAAGAGTCATCAGGACAAAGAGAGGGATGAATCTCCCCAAGGAAGACAAAGACAGCAATAAAAACTTGATAGAGGGTCTAATCTTTCCCCATTCTACCCAGCAGTAGAGCAGCAAAACACAAATACTAATGTCCTACTTCACAGGAAGCAAAAATCCAATAGATTCACACAAAAAATGGTTTCCTCCCGATGTACATATAAAATTACGAACCATACATACAAAACTAGGGTATCAACCTTAACATACAGTAATAACGTTTCTTACCTTAGGTTGATCCCTTATTTAGACATCTAAAAAATTTCAAAAAGTTTTTAGGTGTGACTGTCCTTGGAATAAAAATGTAGCAGCAATCCATCCTGCAAAAGAAGAGTACTAATGCTTACCACTTGGCCGCCATTGCCTCCTATTATCGTTCTCTTGAAGAGCTATGGCTGCCAAAGTATCTTCAACATCTATCATACGTCAGGGTGTATCAGATACCTGGTCCACCAATAGTAATTCCATCCGTTACAACACTACCGTGTTCTGTAGTGACATAGTAGATGGTGGGAGAAGGGGGGGGGGGGGGTCAGGTGAACAGAAAACCCAGAAAGTGAACAAAACTGAAGTTCCAACAGCAGAAGCAAGGTAACACCAATATGTTACCTCGCCCAGAAGGAGAAAAGAACAGGCAACATAAAGTCCACAAGCTTACTCATACCGTTATATATCACTAGCAATTCATCTTGGATGGACTTTTGTAGGGACACATGCTCCACCCGACAGGTAATAGTTGGACGATCCTGGATCTGGACAGGAGTGAGGACTATAGAGTTGTTGACTCTGAAAGTCCCATCAGCATTCGTCTGAAATGTCCCCATTTTTGGTCCATCTTGGACCTCAATATTATTCCGTAGCCAGGTGACTACTAGAGTCTCTTGAGGGAAGAAACCTGTAATGGAACAATCAACCGTGGTTTTCTCATTCTTAAGAAAACCCTTTTTGTGTATCTTGATCGTTGGTGTAGCTGTAAGACAAAAAAGATTGAAGGATATAAAATAACATGGCATGAGAAGAACTTTCCAAGTAGTGAAGTATGAAAAAAAAAAAATTATATATATATACAGTATGTGTATATATATATATATATATACACAGTATATATATATATATATATATATACATACAGTATATATATTGGCCACCGGCATTTAGGCATCTAAACCTGGTGATGACAACTTGCTAAAGTTCATGCCAAGCATCAGAATTGGAAAGAAAGGGGATTTAAGTGATTTTGAACGTGCCATGGTTGTTGGTGCCAGACGGGCTGGTCTGAGCATTTCAAAAACTGCTGATCTACTGGAATTGTCATGCACAACTATCTCTAGGGTTTACAGAGAATGGTCCGGAAAAGAGAAAATATCCAGTGAGCGCCAGTTGTGTGGATGAAAATGCCTTGTAGATGTCAGAGGTCAGAGGAGAATAGGCAGACTGGTTCAGCTGTGACATTCAGATGGTAGGGTCAGAATTTGGGGTAAAACACATGAAAGCATGGATCCATCCTGCCTTGTTTCAATGGTTCAGGCTAGTGATGGTAGTGTAATGGTAAAGTGGGGGAGATTTTCTTGGCACCAGCAAGGTGTGCCTAATAAAGTTGCCGGTGAGTGTATATATAGAAATGTAGCACTACCCCCTTAGAAGTCACTAAAGATTTGGGTTCCCCTATAGTCCTGCATAGCCAGGCAACAAACTTTTTCTACAGACTTGTATTTCACCTTGCATACAGGAGGCAGTAAACAGTCCTTAAACTTGTTTTTTTTTTCTATTCCATTTGGGGTATTGAACTTGGATGGGGTTGAGAGGTTTATGGGATTCTCAAGGGAACTGTAACTGAGGACAAACTCCTTAGCAACTATGTACAAGTCCATAGAAGGGTTTCTCTTCTTGTAGAGCTCTCTAGCCCCTCCTGGTGTACCACCCCCAAACCCCAGCTAGCCCTCTTCTATCCAGCTCTCTGGAGGAATCCCTGGAAAAGGGGATCCAGTGCCTGCCACTTTAAGGTATAACAGTCCCAGGTAAGGAGTTCATCATGTTTTCCACCAGAGTGCTCTTTTCTCTGGCCCAGGGGGTGTGGGATTATTCACTCAGTCTCTTTCTTGTGAGCTGGTTTAGATAGGTGACTGCCTTCAGGACTTCTGCTGGGCTGGCTCTTTTCCTTGCTCCACAGGTGATCCTCACTTTGAGGGCCAGTGATGCTGAGCAATACTGCTGTCCAAGTCCCAGCCTGTAGGTAGGCCCATTCCCAGTTGGCCCCCTATCAGACTCCTGCATCTCAGTCTTCTCTACATCTTCCACCAGAACTCTCCTGCTGCTGACCAGGCTCAGTCATACTTAAGGGCTGCTCTGGTCCCATGCCAAGCCTCTCCTGCTTGGGGATTGGCCAGAATCCCCTGAGTATGCAGACCAGCCCCTTCTCACCCCCTCCCACTGCTTCTAGAATCTTCTCCAAAATTCTAGAGCAGGGGGAGGTATCAAGGAACCGATCTGCAGAGCCTCTCAGCCCTGACCCAAATTTGGCCCAGCTAATTCCCCAAGCTGCTGCTCAACTTTTCTAACTGAAAAAATACTAGCTCCCCTTAGATATTTAATGCTAACTGAATAACATTGATTATCTCCTTACAATGGCTTCTGAAAGTCAGTGAGGTATATTAGGCAGCAAGTGAACTCAGCTGAGTGTGGGAGGGAAGAGAAGGTTAACTTCACTGGCTCTGCTCATGTAGTGTAATTACTAGATAGACAGAGAGAGGGATGTGAGCTCTCTGCAGACAGCTCACATCCTGTACTCCAGGTTTGACCTGGCGGGGATGTTTGAAAGTATTCTTCATTGAAAACTACTCCAATCCCTTTGCTAATTAGGAATGGTCCCTGTACCAGTTTCTAAAAACTCCTGAGGGTGTTGCAGAGAGACCTAAAATAAGTCCATCTGCTTAGTTAATGTGGGCATACCACAACGGCCAGGTTCCTGCCCCATCATAACTACCCTTTGTTAATTACCCCCCCCCATAGTCTTTACAATCACATGCAATTGTGTGCTCTTCATGGACAGATAATTAAAGTGGAACTTCACTCTCAGTCAACATATATATATATATTTTGTATGTGTGTATATAATATATATATATATACTTTTATTTACATTTCTTCAGTTACTTTTTGGTTTCCAGGCCTAGGCAGGTAATGTCATCCATCCCAGCAGTCTTCAGAAGGGGAGGAGGGGTGTTCTCAGATAAGCACTTAAGGACTCCCTCCTGTCTGCATACTTGAGCTAAGGACAGATGGATTCCAGGCAGTAAATGCATCATCTGCCCTTACTAGGAGGTGTTTTTCAAAGTGATTTCTTAGCACAATAAAGCGTGGAAGCGTGAATGTGGGGGGAGGGGGTTGATTTGAAGAATAAAAATGAATTAAATATCATTTTTGGTTTGTGGTGCTCAGATGCAGTGCAGTCCTGCTTTAAAGTTGAATGGTGAGTGGTTGGACACACAGATGTGCATTGCCGCCCAATCAAAATTTTTATTTTTAGCTTGACATGTGTTATTTGGTCAACTGAGCGATCTTCTTAATAGTTCATGGGGAGAGAGTATGCTGATCTTGGAACTGGGGTAAAGGAGGAGCCATTCGTGGACCATGAAGGAAAAACAGGAGGTAAAACAATGACTGAATGTGTATGAGTGGGAAGGAGGATAAAGATGGTAGAGTAGCAAATGGTTGTGGGCTAGGAGGGCTTTATCAATCAACCTTGAGCCTTTGGCATAGAGTTGGTAAAAAAGCTTTTGTGGTGGGTGAACAGTGAAAAGTGGCAGTTGACCATGAAGGAGCGGAGAAGGCAGAGTAGCAGCTGAGCAGGGAGTAGTTAGAGTATAAACTTAGTAAAGTAGAGGATCAGATAGGTTAGAGAAAAAAGGCAGTGGGATCCGATTGTAGTAGGGGGATAATGGATGTTACCTTATTATAGACCTCCGGGAGAAGAAGTAGATGGAATCTGAATAAACCTGGGGGCAGAGATGATTGTGGATGTAGGAGAAGGAGGTGGAGTGGGTGTTAACTGTGGACAGAGGACACACATAAGGCAGAGCAGTAACTGAGTATTGCTGATGTGTGGAGAGTAGAGAGGAGAAGCAACCAAACACGTTCCGAGAGGAGGATCTGCTCAAGGACTGAAGAGAGGAAACAGATAGGTAGCTGATCATGGACTAGGTTGAGGGGTCATGCATGAACTGTCATTTCTCTCTTCTGAAGAAGGCATGGAAGTTAATACCCTTTCTCTTAATATGTGAAGGTGCAACAGTTTGTAGAGAATATGAGATGCTTTGGTCCTTACCCCGAACATTGAGTTGAATGTCCCTGGACAATCTTTCCGGACTGTAGATGACTAAACACTTATAGGTTCCGTGGTCGGTGATGGTGACACTGTGAATGGTCAGCGAGGCATTTCCTTTTCTGGCCGCCTGCTCGTCGAAAGACACCCCGTCACTGACCATTTTCTCCTTATTGTCAACTCTCAGCAGTTCTTTTTTTCCAAAAGACCAGATTATCGCCAGGAACTGCTGGTTTATAGGGGGACTATTCACACGGAAAGTACATGGTAGAACAGCACGAGATTTATATACAGCTGTTTGAGAAGGGGGAGCGGTCACTTCCAGCCCAGAACCTGGAAAATAAAACGTATAGTGTTTGTCGTAAATATTTTATATATTACTTGTGCCCAGGACTAAAAAATGTTTAAGAATATTTATTATTAGGCAAATATGAAACTTTGCATATGAAAATTTTGTATTCATTTAGCCAACAAGTAGAGCTCTTGGCTCCTTTTTGCATGTTTTCTTCAATCTCCTTACAGCCTGTTAACAGACCACAATAGCTCAAGAGGAGAGTTAAACACAAGTGAATTAACCAGAGTACTGACTCCGCCCTTATCTGATGACCCCCATCTGACGTTTTGAGATCTACTGCTGTGATGTTGCTTTAGATAAACCTATAATGCTTTAGGAATCTATCTCTCTTTTTATAGATAGATAGATATAGATATTTCGCACAGGAGCACTGGACAAATTTGCTTTGAATCTAGAAGCCAGCTAAAAAAAGTTAAGAGGTAGGTTTTTTTTAGTGTAGCATGGGTCTTAGCACCCGAGAAAAAGCAACTTTTGGGCAACAAGCTTCATGTGATGCGATTTGCCATGCAACAATCACGGCAAAACCACACCACATAGGCGCCATTGAAAATAATGACACCTGGATTTACGTTTTGTGTTCATAGTGATTCTGCCATGATGCCTAGGTGTGAATGGAGCCACCCTGGTTCACACATATGCGATTCTGGATGCACTTTCAAACTTACAAATTTGCATGACAGGGTAGATATTATGTGTTCCTTTTGAGATGGTTCACATAGATGCGATCCACATGCATTGTGTTTTGAGTGCCATTACGAACAGGGTGTGTTCCAGATTCGTAAATATTAGAGTAGAATGGCATGCAAAGATAATTGTTCACATAAGATTGCTATTGACAGGAGTCTTTGCATTGAAGTCAATGGGAGGCGTTTTTCCATTGAAGTCAATAGGAGGCGTTTTTCTTTTGAAGTCAATGGGAGGCGTTTTTCCATTGAAGTCAATGGGAGGTGTTTTTCCATTTTTAAGTGATTTTGTATTGAAGTCACTGAGAGGTGTTCTTGAATTGAAGTCAATGGGACACAATTTTGCATTGAAGTCAATGAGAGGCAGTGTACGAATCCAGTTGCCAGGCTGCAATTTCTAGTCTCTATGGCCAAGGCCGTCTTTAATATTGATTGGACCCTGGGCAAACATTTTCATGGGCCCCCATGCAATTTTGCTCCCACCTGCTCTGAGACATACAATAAGTAGCAACTAGACTCAACATCAGTTTATTTAGCAGATCAGGCAGCAATTGCAATTGATTCCCGGAGGACATATCATTACAGCCCACTGACTGGTTGGTAGAGGTTACAACACACACTATGGTTCACTGATTAGTTGCTGGAGGTTACAGCACATGATTTCTGCTTGCTGATAGGTTGCTAGAGTTTACTGCACATCATTACTGCTCACTGATTGAGTGCTAGAGGTTACTGCACTTCATTATTGCTCACTGATTGATTGCTAGAGATTACAGCAGATTTCTGCTGTTCACTGATTGGTTGTTAGAAGTTACTGTACATCATTACCGCTCACTGGTTGCTAGAGGTTACTGAACATTATTACTGCTCTCTGATTGGTTGCTGTTGTTTACTGTGCATCATTACCACTTACTTGTTGATTGCTAGAGGTTACAGCTCATCATTACAGCTCACTGATTGGTTGCCAGAAGTTACAGCACTTAATTATGTCTCATTAATTGGTTGCTGAAGGCTACAGTACATCATCTCCTCACTGCCTGCATACCATGGACTGGGAAGGTGATGGCACCCACTAATAGACAGAAAACTTCTAGGGATTCTAGGACTCCTGGAATCAGCGGCAGTGCTGGGAGGAAAGTGTGATCAGTGGCAGTGCTGGGGGGTTGATGGGATCAGTGGCAGTGGTGGGGGGATGGGATCAGTGGCAGAGCTTGGAGTGGATGGGATCAGTGGCAGTGCTGGATGGGGATGGGAGGTGACATTTCTACATCGATAACCAATGTAAGACAGGATCTATATTGACCACCAGTGTATGGGAAATTCTACACTTACCAATGTAAAGGGAAATTTACACAGACCACCAATGTAATGGGGAAGTTGCACTGACGGCCAATGTAATTAGGGATTTTACACCAACAACCAATACATTTCTACACTGGCCACCAAAGTAAGGGGGAATTTACACTGACCATGAATTTAAGGGGGGCTCCCCTACATGGACCACTAATGTAAAGGAGGGTTTGACACTGACCACAAATGCAAGTTAGGAAATGCATGCAAATTCAGTTTCCTGACACCACAGAAATGTGCTGCCCTTTAGCAGATCTAATGACACCCTTGAGCATCTGCACATGCACCAAAATTCAAGGTGCTGTGGCTTGGTGTGATTTGAAAAAGGGTCGGGGGCATTATTTCCACATTTCTAGCGCATAGAGCAGCCCATTGAGATAATTGGGCTGCCCCACATGTGACATACATCTTTATCCGACCCGTCAGTATACCTTTGCATCCTAAATTTCCCTGCTAACCTCTGTACCCCAAACCTATCCTCTTCAATCTAACCTACCCCAACCTTAACTCCACATGCCTCCTCTGCTCATCTATGCACCCACCTTCCTTACCTCAAACTGTAATTCCTTTTCTGCCTACCTCTGTACACACGCACATGCGCACACACGCGCGCACACACACACAACACTTTGCTTACCTTTGTAGAACAGGCTGAGGGTAGGCTCAGTGACCACAGTTGCAGGCAGGACTTTCAAGCATGCCCTGTTTACCTCCCCAGTGGGCAGTATTCAGTAGAGGTGATGGTGGCTGGAACCCCAGGGGGGGCATAATATTCATATGAATGGCCCCGCTATTACATATCAATGCCGCTGGTCAGCATCCATTTCCAATTTTTTTATTTATTACAGGTACTTATATAATGCTGTCAATTTATACAGCACTTTACAGGTGTGTGTGTATATATTGTACATTCACATCAGTCCCTAACCCTCAAGGGGTGTACAATCTGAGGTCCCTAACCCTCAAGGGGTGTACAATCTAAGGTCCCTAACCCTCAAGGGGTGTACAATCTGAGGTCCCTAACCCTCAAGGGGCGTACAATCTAAGGTCCTTAACTCACATTCATACATACACATACTAGGGACAATTTAGACAGGAACCAATTAACCTACCAGCATGTCTTTAGAGTTTGGGAGAAAACCGGAGTACCCAGAGGAAACCCACGCAAGCACAGGGAGAACATACAGACTCCAGGCAGGTGATGCTGTAGTTGGGATTTGAACCAACGACCCTATTTACATATCAATAACATGTATTTCCATGTGAATGATGACATGGTCTGCATGTGAGTCATGGCAACAGGGCAGAGCTAGGCAGCATAAGTGACAGCACTTCTCAGTGACATATTGGGGCACAGTGTGGGACGAAGACTTCAAGGGACAAGGGAGTGTAAAGTGGGACAGTTGGCAAGTATGGGGCAACTGCTTTGGGCTCCACAACAATGACTGGGCTCAGGGCAGCTTCCCTTTTGCCCCTCCTTAAAGACAGCCCTGTCTATGGTGACCTGGTGCCTGGGATTTGTCGAGCCTTAATATAGAGCACAGAGTCTTGGCAGTTCCCACTGTTTGTCCCGAGTTCTATTCTCTAGTAAGTGCAAGCAGCCAGGCACAGAGCAGTTTCCCAGTCTCTCAATACAATAACCAGGCTGAAAATCTCTCTTTGAAGCTTAATGCTGGTTAAACTTGGTTGGAGGTAGGATAAGTCTTGGGATACTCCAAAGTTACAGCAAACTGAAACAGAGAACACTTTCTGATAGCAGCTAAACTCTTCAGGATAGATCTCTTGTGAAAGAGATTGTGAACATACAACTCAGGGGATTCCCACTCTGGAAGCAGCCCTGAGCCAGCAACTCTGGAGCAGTCTCTCCAATTTGTAGTGCACAGAGTAGCAGAGGACAAGGTCTGCCTTTTCTCTACTCTTTTAGCTCTCTTCTTGCTTAAGAATAAAAGAGCTGCAACTCTGCAACTTCAGACAGTAACACAGTCCAACATTAGCTATTCTGGAGCAGGTGCTCAAAGGGTTAAAGCAGCAACAGCCATTAGGATCTCTCTCTCAGGTCTTTACTCAATGTGTCCTTGTATGCATGGATGCCTCTTTCCAATACTAGCCAGACCCTGTATTGTGAGCCTCCAGGCTAGACCCATAGTTGACTCCCTTTGAAATAATTCCAGCTCCTTTTTAAAAGCAGTTCCCCCAGCTCTCCCTGAGCTGGGATCTTGATGAACCTCCTGTAGTCTTCAGATTAGCACCCTAGGAGGGGAGACAGCTCCTATTGGCAGGATCCCTCTCTACCAAGGCAGTAACCTGTTGTTCGAAGGCCCCATACTATGTATATACCGTATTTTTCGCCATATAAGACGCTCCGGCATATAAGACGCACCCAATTTTAAAGGAGGAAAATCTAGAAAAAAAAGATTCTGAACCCAATACTGTAGTAAAATATTTTATATCAACTGTATAAAGTTAACAGCAGCTTAAGAACAATTTTATGCCAACCATGTAACAAATCCAGAAATGAAAGAACTCACGGTTTGGATCGTTCCACGGATCAGGAGTCACGGATCGGATCTTTTTCGGATCAGTAAAAAAAAAACAACAAGACAAACATACCGGTACGTTTTGTCTTTTTGTTTAATACATCATCCACCATTGCCCCCACTCATCACGTAATGTCCACCATTGCCCCCACTCATCACTGTAAAGTCCACCATTGCCCCCCACTCGCCATCACCATCACTGTTCCAGTGCAACATTGCCCCCACATTAGTAATAATAGCCAGTAACATTGCCCCCAACATAGTAATAATAGCCAGTAACATTGCATTGCCC